AGAGAGAGTTTAAAATGAGCTGGGCATGGTGATGCACACTTATAATCTCAGCACTCAGGAGGCTGAGGCAGGAGGATTGCCAGGACGGTTTCCAGTCTGGGCAATTGTAAGTGGCCACATACACTCACAGAAAAGCTTGTGTTGGGGCACAGGTTCTGTTTTCTTGGGCAAATGCTTAGGCTGGCTAGCCAGATGTGCAAACCAGATGTGCTGAGGGTGCAAACTCAGGTCCTCGCCCTTCAACAGCAAGTGCTTCACAGACAAGCATCTCTCCAGCTCCCCGGGGAGGTTTTAACCCCCAAGTGCAACTCTGTGCCCTGGTTTTCCTCATGTAGCGCATGCACATTCACACCAGCTCTCGTTCTACATTTTTCACTGAGAGCAGCTGTCCTCAAGAGGAGCCGTGATTCACAAAATGTAGATTAGGAGGGAAGGGAGGCCCATGTTCTTGGGAAAGATGCACGAAAATCCAAGGAAGGGAAAAGAACCCAGACTTTCTGTGGATGGAGGGACTAGACGGCTCACGACCTCTCTATGACCAGCTACAGCTGCCTCTTGTCAGCTCAGACTGTCCAGGCATCCGAACGGCACAACCACAGGGACATAGGGCCCAGGCCAGGGCTGTGGTCATAACTGCTGCCCACTTACGGCGTTCCCTGATGCGAGGCTGGCGTCCTCGGCATGTGAGATGCTTGTGCCACTGGGAACAGGCGTATTTGGGGGCACGGGTGGCCTCTGAGGGGAGTATGAGGTAGAGCGAGTCAGGAAAAGCATGAACTTAGCGCATTGCCGCCCTTGGCTGTGCGGATGTGCTTGTAAATCATCCCAGTCGCCCGCCCAAGCAGTGGCCATCAGTGTGACCCAGAACCTGTGGCCCTCACAAGGCTCTGCCACCTCATGACTGAAGCTTCCTTGGGGCCGTGGCTGTGCCATGCTCTGTCCCAGTGTTTGAAAAATTTTCTTTAGCTAGAAAAAGTGCATATCTGAAGTGGCAGTTCAGCAAATTGCTCTGGTGTGTGTGTTGGTGTGGCAATCACACAGGTAAACTTATTACGCCTTCCTGCCTTGCTGCCAGGCTTTCCCATACCCTCACCGATAAAATCAGGTCTTCCTTTGCTCTTGTACAGAGCGTCTTCTCTCCCTGGGTCACCCGCTTCCCTCTCTGCCTGTCATGTGATCTCGGGTTCTGGGAGGGGCTGCACTTGCACGAATTGTCTGTAGGGCTAGTGCAATAGGGAAGCCATCAAGTGCACGGGAGTGTGCCACCAGCTCCTGCCAGTTCCCTGTCTCCTCTGATGGGCCCAAGTTCCAAAGCAGGTCACAACGGCATATGTCATTTATAGTGATTCCTAGTACTTAGGATCTGCAGGCAGCAAGCTTTTCCTGACTCAGCCCCCCTCATATTCCCTTCAGAGGCTGCCTGCCCCACAAAAGACTCTTGTTACCATGTATCCAACCCCTATAATGTGACAGGTCTTTGCTAAGTATGTGTCCCCTACCCTCATCCTTCTGGATCACACCTTTGAGAGGCCCCCGTAGCCTAGGAGTCAACGCCCATTCTTCAAAACCAGTATTCGAGGCCCTTCCCAAGTCTGACCTGGCCTCGCTTCCACAGCTCCTCACGAGATGTCCCTGGAACTCTTCATAGTATCTACACAAGGCTTCCTCCAACGTGGTGGGACACCATGTCTCCCTGTCTGTGTGTAGACTGGCATGCTGACTCCACCCCAATTGTCTAAATCTTTCCTATTCTGTATAAACTCTCTGTGTGACCCACCCTGATGCCCACTGTCCACCTAGATCCCACCCTGGAGCTCATCCAGTGATCCACAAGCTTGGCTGTATTTGGCCAGGGAATTTTCCAATGTCCACTGTGTGTCTGAAGTCCAGAAGGATAATGAGGATGTTTAGAAAAAGGAAACAAATGGGAGAGGAAGTTGAAGGTCTGCCTGAATTCCTCAGTGATAAGGGCCAGAGGGAGCTGCCCTGCTCTGTCCTCCCAAGGGCTGTGGTTGACCAGATGGCCAAAGGCAAGTGTTTGGCAAAGGATTGAGTCTGCACAGACTAGGGTCAGAGACTTGGGTCCTATCTGGGGATGTGACTTACTGAGTGGCCTCGGGTCCCTCTCTGGGTCCCTGTTTCTTCTCCATCCCTCCAGACATGAGTATTTCACCTCACTAAATTTTGGCAAAACCGTTTAGCTCTGGGTACCATACTCTCCTTGATTCCCAGCTGCTTAGGGTTCTAGACTAACCTGGAGACTCTGGATGCATGCTCCATTCCTCTCCCTAAGCAAAGCCATGCCCTGGGGTACTGTTCCTGGAGGGACAGTGGCCTACTGGCAACCAGAATTCTATGAGAGTAACAAGCCGAAGGGATCGAGGACTCGGTGCCCCGCAACGATTCAAAACAAATGTCTGGGGAGAACGAAGGAAGGCTGCTGGAAACCTGCAGACCTTGCAGGCACAAGTACTTGAGTTGGAGCCCTGGAACCCAGACAAGAAATAAAGGAAGAAATCGGGAGATTAAAGGAAGGAACAGAGGAGCCCAAAACTGAGTGGCTGTCTGGAACGTGAAATGCAGTTTGGGGGCAGAGAGAAGTAGACCCCTGGGGTTTGCAAGCCAGCCATCCCAGTCTGTTTGGCACATTCTAAGCCAATGAGAGCCCCTGCCTCAAAAAAATAAGGTGGGTAGTACCTGAGGAACAGTACCTGAGGTTAGACTCTGACCTCTATGTGCACATTCACACATTTGCACCCATACACACACATACACACTCTCTCTCTCTCCATGTATATATGGCTAAAGGCCAGAGGGAGCCCTAGCGCTGTCCTCCCAAGTATATATGGAATACCACCTGGCAATCTGTATGGTCAATTCTCTGGTCTGAGAGGAACCCAAAAGTGAGGGACAGCCATTGTTCTGTCCTCAGACCACAAGAATGGACTCGCTGGGTGCCTGGGATAGGAAGGTTAACTCGCTTAAGCCATAAACAAGGCCTTGGCTCCTGTTGTGGGAAGATCTTGTTTCAGACGGGCCTGCCTTCGCTGTCAAGCAGCTCTGGGTTTTCTCAGTCTCCATCCTGCTGCCCCTCGGTGGCCTTCATCATCGTGTTCTTTTTGTCAACAAGATTACCACAGAAACCCAGCCTCTGGTCCTCTGAGGTTTTTCCAGTCCAGTGGGGAGAATTAAACCTCCTAGCTTAATCCGAAGTCCCAGGAGTGTGAGCTCCTGCCTCAGACGAGTCTGGTTCGGGCCGGCCGCCAGGCACCGAGGCTGGGAATGCCGACTGCCTTAAGTCTCCGTCATAACCAAAGCCCCTGCAGAAGGTTCGCCAGGAGCAGTGGGGGAGAAGGCTCTTGCTTGTGGGAGCAGTGTGCGCACAGAAAGAGCAGGTATCCACATGGCCGGTCCTGCTTTCATGCCACAGCATGAGTGACGGAGTGAAAGCGTGAGGAAGGTGCTGAGAGTCTGGGATGAGCCCACAGCCCGAAGGCATCCAGCGGGTGGGAGCCTGGTGCCTGAGAGGATGGAAAGAAGGAAAAACGGTGAGGGACACGGTTCCCAGCACCCTGACTTCCTCTTTCAGAGGGCTAGCCAGCTCAGACCCCTGAGCCACACACCTCCGCCAGCATGACCTGAGGCAAAGCATGCTGTCCCCAAGGGGACACATGGGCACGGGGTCTCTTTGGAGCCGCCTTGTGTTTCTTTCAGCAGTTCTGCAGAGTGATGCCCTGTGACAGCCCCTGCCCTGTCCGAGTGCCAGGCTGAAAAGGAAGTAGTAGCCCGAGTCTGGAATCCCGCTGGCTGCGTACCTGTGTTCACTGTGTGGCTGCCAGACCCAGACAAGTCAAGTCTGGGCAGCAGGGACACATGAGGGAGGAGGTCTTCCCGTGGACCTGGGCTAGGACAACCACAGTGCTAGGTGGACCACTGGTGACCTGGGAAATGACAAGAGAGCCACTGTGGTGGAAGGGACAAGCCTCCGCTTAGACCTCGATCTTGGTGGTGGAGAGTGCCCTGCCGCCTGGGTGCAGGCCGGCCACCAGTGCTGGCTCACTTAGACCATTGGTTGAGTTCATGTTCTTTGATGCGGCTGGCCAGGAGGTCCCCTCAGAGGGAGGAAATGCAGGGAGCCCCCGAGCCATGCCTTGTCCACCCTGATCTTGGGCTCTGGCAGACTCGGGCCAGGGAGGAGGTGAGGAGACATGGAGGTCTGGCAGGAAGGGATTACTACACCATCACCACGAGCAAGAATGAACAGAGGCTCTGCCTTTGAAGGACGTGTGGCCGGGCTCCTCTGTTCTGCCTGGCTTGTCCCCAGGAACCGGAGGCTGATACCCAACATCCTGTAACGGGGCCCTGCTAGCATGGCCCCACCCACGTAGGGAGACTGAGGCAGGCCAGGGTGGCAGAGCCTAGTGATTGATTGGCTTAAGACTCTAGGGAAAGGCTCTTTGCCTCCCAGGGTCAGAATCCTTACAGCAAGAGCATTGCTTGGGATCCAAGAGGCCTGAGAGGGTCCTCAAGGCAGAAGCAGGATCAGTGAGACCATTTGGGGCACACACGTGAGGATCAGGCTGCTGTCGAGGGCTGAGTAGGGGTACAGTCTGGGGTTGAGATGCTGCCCATTCTGGAACTTTTGTGAGGTACGGACTGGAGCTGGGCTAAGGGCTTATCTGGGCCTAAGATGAGTTATAGACTGAGCTTGGGGTGGCAGTTCAGAATGAGGCTAGGGTGAAGACCCTGGCCAGAGTAGACATCCGTGTGGAAGTCAGACCCCCAGGCTGAGAGCTGGTTCAAGCTCGGCCGACCCAGCTCTGGGCCCTGCTCCTCAAGTCTGTGGATGGGCCTAACGTCTTCTGTCTGCTTTGTCCTCAGGGTGTCTGGGCGACCAGCCCCCATCACCAGTGTGAGTACATGCAGATGATTGACAGGCAGCGCCTGCAGTGCCTGGAAGAGGCCCAGCCGGAAAATGAAACCGCAGGTGAGCTGGCGGAAACAGGGGAGTCCCAAGTCCCCTCAGGTCACCAGCCCGGCCTTCCAGAAGAGCCAGTCACATGAGGCTCAGGGGCAGAGGTCACACTGCTGAGCTCTGGGTAAGGGCTGCAGGACCTCCATGCTTCCCTGACCCCACCCAGGTCTGGGAGTTCCCAGCCCTTCTGTGTGAACAAGGTGGTAGACCAAGACTCCGAAAGCACAGAGGCGGCTGTGCTCCTTAGGGTCCGGACCCAACTGTTGGCCCACCCAAGGAGGGGGGCATAGGATGCTCAGGAGCCGGTCCATGATGAGGCCTCTCGCTCGCCCACTTGGGGGCACTCCAAATCAACTTCCTTGGCCCCTGACTTACCTAGAGCTCAGATGAGACCGGCTGGCCAGACCCTGCCGCAGGCCATCAAGACAGACGACGGCTCTGCTTGGTGTGGTTGTTCAGGGTTGAGCAAATTTGCAGGGGTGGGCAAGTCCAGGGGAGCAATGGGGCTGAGAGAGTGGGACGCCCAGGCTCCCCGTGCTGGGAGAGAGCTGGTGCGGCAGAGGTGGAAAGGCAGCTGGGCCTCCATCTGGGTCTTCTCCCTCGGCTGGGCTCACGGGTACAGAATGGAGCACCTGTGCAGGGAGCACCTGTCAGCCTCACAGGCCCTGGCTCCTGACCCCACTCTGAAGCTGCTGCACAACCTTTGGTGGTCCTTCCTGAAGACGGGTGCACAGGCCTGCTGTGCTCACGAGTGTATGTGGGCCTGGCAGGGGCCACGCTCTGCGGCAGTGTGGCCCCTGACACCTGTAGACCGAGGCCTGGGTGGCTGGCTGACTAGACCTGCCTGTGTGCCCCGCTCTGCACTGCCAGGCTGCAGACTGGCCTCGGAAGGCCTCACCATAGTGGGGGAGCCAGAGGAGCTTGGACGCCAGACCCTGGGTCCCAGAGGGGGCCTGGCCACCGTCCTGGTCCCAGTGAGGTCACTGTTGGCACGGGGTGCTTGTGGGATGCCAGCGCCCAGTCCGCCAGGCAGGCATCTGGAAGAGGGCAGGTGTAAGTGTGCAAACTAGGGTCTGCCCTGGCTGCTGCTGACGCTCCGTACACACTCACATCGCTGCAAGAGGGCATGCCTGGCCCATGTCTGACTCTGCCTTCCCTGCGCCTGTCTCTGTACGGCAGAGGCCTGTATCTGTGTAAACCTGTATGTGACATGTGTGTGCGGTCCCTGAGTGTCTGTGTGAGTGCTTGGGTGTGTGGTCAGACTGTGTGTTGTGTCTCTCTGTGTCTGCTCCCTCAGTGGCCTTCCTGTGGCCACACACGTATGTTTGCATGTGTGTCCGGAGTCAGTATGTCTGAGAATACGTGTGAGTGTGCATTGTGATATCTAGGAAATTGTATAAAATCAACCCACTGGGGCCTTCGTTCGTGCCGGCTTCTCCATCCCTCATGTCAGCCTCTTAGGTTTTGCTGCTGGGCTCTCAGCCCTGAATGGACACACGAGGAAACCGCGCATACACACACAGCCATTTCTAGAACTGAACCAGCCTTCCTCATGACTGTCGTTACTCCATGACTTCCCAGCCCAGCTGCCCAGCAAGCCAGGCCTGAGGTGCTTGGCAGCACACACCTCTCCTCCTCTGTTCCCTGACTTGCTGGCTGACCAAGGCCCAGGCCCAGTGCACCGCTCGGCCTACTGTGCTGCACTTCTCTGAGGCCCAATGCGGCCTCCGCTCCGCACCGGGCAGAGCCCAGTCCCTTCTATTCTGCCCCACCTCTGCTGAAGCTGAGTCCAGGCCCTGGCACACGAGCGCACGCGCGTGCGTACACGTACACGCCCCCATGCACGCACACACATACACACACACCTCTTCAGCTCAGGCTGGCAGCTCTGGAAGCTTGAGGCCTGGCGGAGACCCAGACACAATAGCTGGCCTGCAGAACAGGGCGTGCCCAATACTGTCATTCAGGGTACATAAAGTCCAGCGGCAGCCAGATTCCCAGAGAAATGCTTCTGAGCCCCGAAAGCCCGGAGGAATGTGTGACTGGGCGAGAGGCGGGCCACACCTCGTCCGGCCACCTTGCCTCGTTTCCTCATCTGTGAAATGGACTGGTTACATAAGCTGAGACAGTGTTGAGACATCCCAGAGCTAGGGCTCACGGTGTTAACTGAGCCAGGCAGGGGCTCAGGGGCAGACCTGCCTGGCCTCAGGGGCTCCTCGAGACAGACTGAAGGACTCCTTAAAGCTGTGGCTCATGGGAAGAGGGACCATGGCCTTCTGGACTTCGTCAGCCGTGGCTACAGGTGCCACCTGGCTGCTGTGGCTGCAGGAGGGCCTTCCCCGCTGCCCCACCCCTCCTCAGCTGCCACAGGACCACGGCACTGAGAGCCTGAGGCTCCTCCCCCTCCCCTTCCCAGGCCCCCTTCTTGAGAACTTGTGAACCTTCGGACCTGGGCTGGTCTGGGCTTGGCCCAGCTGGCATCGACTTTGCCTCTGGGGTGGGGTTTCCTGAGCAGGTCTGTGGGGCTGGGATTGGCAGCACTTCGAAGAGACCGACTCACTCAAGAGAGGAGTTGAGGGGAGTCCTCTTATCACAGGGCATCCAGGTTCGTAGAGACCCCGGAGACGCCCCTTGGCAGCCTCAGCAGCCAGACTCCCAGCAGGAACAAGTCTTCGCTCACCGGGCCTGCACTGCTTTGCAGCTCCGTGACAGGCTAGCTGCCGCTGTGCTGCGCTGCCTTTCTGTGAGAAAACAGGATTCACAAGGCGCACTCCATGTTTTCCAACAGTGGTGGTCTCTAACAGGGCCCCTGGGTGGATCTTGCTCTCTTTGAATGTGGATTATTAGCCTTGTTTGTGCGGGAAGGCAGGCTTGAACTGTGGGGCTGAATGACTTGATACTGCTGCGGTAATTTGGTAAGGTAAGATTCTGAAATCCTAATGCCTGTTTTCTTACAAACCCTAAAAACGAAGGCCACTTATTGTACTGCTAGAAATACACATGAGGCTCTATAAAAGAAAAAAACAGGCAGGGGAGCAGTTTATAATCCAATCCGTGCGCATGTGCAGGCGTGACGGCAGTAAAAGAGGAGACAGCCGAAGGCCGGGCCCGCAAACACGAGCTCCGGGAATGAGAGGGCCGTAAGCGTAGGTTGAAGCGTGCAGCCGTGCTCACTGACTCACCACCACAGGCAAGCGCTGCAGAAGGTGACACGACCTTCCGCAACTTTGACCAACTCTCATTAAAGTCCAGGACGAAATGAAATACGGGCTTTGCTCCCTCTTTTCGGTGACTGCTTTGCCGGAATGCTTCATAGAGTCAGGTCCTTTGCTCTGAGGACTTGGATGCCATAGCCTTGGCTCTTGTCATTCAAAAAGACCGACACCTTTGTAAGTGCCCAGGGGCTGAGCCAGAATGAAAGACAGTTTGCCCCTGGGCAGAACCAGCTGGGCTACCTGCCTGGTACCTACCTGTGTCTTGTCTCTCAAGTGTGGCAGTCTGAGGGCACAAGTCCTGGGTTTCATCCCCAGCACTGTATAAACTGAGCATAGTGGCGCATACTTGTGATCCAACGACACTCAAGAGGTAGAGACAGGAAGACCAGACAGACGCTCAAGGTCTCCTTCGGGGCCAGCCTGAGCTATACAAGACCCTGTCTAAAAGAGATAGGTAGGTAGGTAGGTAGGTGATGGATGGATGGATGGATGGATAGATGGATAGATAGATGGATGTGTGGGTAGGTAGATGGATGGATGGATGGACAGACGGACAGACAGATATACAAATGATGCCATGTTGGGAAGTTCTATCCCTTACGTAGAGAGGACCTTCTTTCCTTCCCCTCAGCACAGGACCAGTGCAGCCTGGGAAGGCACAGTCTCCACTCTGACAGGAGGCATCTGAGGAAAGGAGAAGGGAGGGGCGGTCGCCATGTTCATTTGGTGACACATGTCCTGTGCCTTCATCCCACAGGCTGTGGCACGATGTGGGACAACCTCACCTGCTGGCCGGCGACTCCTCGGGGCCAGGTGGTGGTCCTGGGCTGCCCCCTCATCTTTCAGCTCTTCTCTGGTCACGGTAAGAGGCCTGTGCAGAAGGCCAGAGGATGGACTGTGTGCTGTGAACGGGGCCAGCCAGGGGGCTGGGACCAGGAGAGCTCTCCCAGGGGCTAGAGAAACCTGGAGGCGCCGAGGCCAGGAATGGCACTGGGCCCTGAGAGGGCTTGACTGGGCCCTGAGAGGGCGAGAGGGGTTGATTAGCTCTTCACAGGGAGATAAGCATGTGGGAAGGGCTCACTAAATGTTTGTTCAGCAATTGATAACTGATTGACTGGCAGGTCTGAGTTACGGCTCCTACGCTCCTGTGCCTTGGTTGTGACTGTCTGCCATGGCCTGGAACCGCCGACCTCTGGGGCCCAGCACACAGCCTTGCTGTCACACCTTGTGTCTGTTTGATCAGACATTCCATGGAAGACAGAAAGGGAAAGGGGGCTCCCTTAGGACCTTGACACCACATTCAGTCAGTAGCTGGGGCCCCTTCCATTACTGAGCTCTATGTTGCACAGACAGTGGGGAGGGACTTTGGGAAAGGCCTCCTGCCCTCTGGAGTCCCAGCGCGAGCTGAGACACCTCTAAGAGGAAATAAACAAGTGTGTAGTGGAGGACAGAGGTTCTGGGAGGGGGAGGGGGAGCTGGTGGTGCTCTCCCAGAGGAGGACCTGAGGGGATGCAGCAGCTGGCTGGGCACAATCATCCTCACCCCGGGGTGCACCTGAATACCAAGAGCTGCCCGCCCCCGTACCCGCCGGGTGGCCTGGCACTTGCTCGGATGCTTAGTGGGGCCTGCTCTGAACTGACGGAGAGAAGGGTGAGACGGCAGCTCACTAGCTGGACATCCAGGAGAGTGTGCAGGGAAGGGTGTAAGCAGTTGGCCTTCAGTCCCAGGAGGGGCATTTGCAAGAGTGGGCACGGCTGACGCCAACCCATGCCTTGTTCTCATGGAAGGTAAACCCACAAGTACAGAAGAGCTTGTGCTTTGGCTGGATAAACACCTGCTCGGGGGTAGGGGGGAGAGCTCCGGGTGAAGGTCGGGCTGTGCACGCGTGAGGACTGGAGCTCGGGTCCTCAGCACCCTGGCCAATACAGACACACATGCGTCTGCACTCCCAGCATTCCCAAGTCAGAGGCTAGTTAAAGGCAGAGCCCACAGATGCAGAAGGGACATCTGGTGGGTGGAGAAGTCAGTAAGGGCCCCAGTCGCCAGGCCACTGGGGTACAGAACCCAGATGCAACGCCTGGAGGTACCTCCGAGGCACGTGGTACAGATAGATGGACGGACCAGTGGGTGGATGGACAGGTGACAGGATGGAAGTTCCGGCAGGCCAGGCCACGCAGTGGGAGCTGAGCTGAGCTGCAGCCCCAGGGACAGCGGGGCATTCTCTGTCCCTGGACGCACACACTGGGTGTTCAGGTGACAGGTGGGGGCCACCCACAGTTAGGTGTCCTGCTCTTTATGCGGCTCAGGTGAAGGGTCTTCACACCCTGCCTTGGTCTGGTGTGTCTGACACGTTCTGGCTCTCCTGATACGGGTTGCTAGTGTGCTCTGGTGAGTGTGGCTGTGCACATGGCGCCGCCTGTGCCTTCGGGTTGGCGCTGGACAGGTGGTGACTATGTAGACAAACCAGAGTCTTTCTGCCCTGGTTTGTGCTGAGAAAAGGAACCTAATTCTGCTCTATACAATGGAGTCCCAACAACGCCAGCTCTTCGTCTGTCCCCAGGACGACGGGCCCGGCAGCCCGGCAGGATCCTCTCCTCTCCTCACGGGAACCCAAGGGGCTGTTTGGGGAGCTGGAGCCTGGCAGCACCACGGCAGTAGGGAGCGAGAGCAGGCTCTGTGGTGCTTCCTGGCTCGAGCCTCCGAGAGAGAGAGAGAGAGAGAGAGAGAGAGAGCCTCCTCTCCCTCTGTTGCCTGATTCCAGGCCATAACGTCAGCCGGAGCTGTACCGGAGAGGGCTGGTCAGACCTGGAGCCGGGGCCCTACTACACCGCCTGCGGCCTGGATGACAGGCTGTTCGGTGTGGATGAGGTGAGGGCGGCTTGCGCTTTTGTACGCTCTGGGGTCTGCCCTCCGCGAGTTCGAATCTCCCAAGGCCCATCCCCTGACTCCCCCAAAAGGATGTACACAAGACTTAATGAGGATCGCACTCATGGAGGGGGTGTCCTCTGAGTGCCAAAACTGACCCCCCCCCAAGCTGGTTCGCCTCTGTATGTCAGTAATTCCAGCACTTGAGAAGCTGAGGAAGAAAGAGCACAAGTGTGAGGCTAGCCTGGGCTAACCCCCAAGCTGGTTTGCCTGTCTACATCTATAATGCCAGCACATGGGAAGCTGGGGCAAGGGGACATCAAGTTTGAGGCCAGCCTGGGTTATACAGGGAGACTCTCAAAATTCTGTTTTAAAGATGTGAATGAGTGGTAGACAAGCAGAGCTGTGAGGTCCCCCCTTCCCCATGCTGGGAGCTGCCTTGCACAGCAGAAAGAAGACTCCATTTACCCCGTCACCCTCTGGCATGGTGCCCATGTGTCCATGAAAACCGGGCCTTAGGCACCACCCAGCTGCTCTTGGGAGCCGTGGGCACATCTTCCTGCTGTGTGTGGGGGGTGCAGGCAGAGCAATAGCCCCTCCTCATCAACAGCCCCCAGCTGAGTACCCCGCCCACTCCCACCCAACATCCTCGCCTGCCTCCTGCAGCAGGAACAGACCGAGTTCTACAGCGCTGTGAAGACCGGCTACACCATTGGCTATGGCGTGTCCCTCGCCAGCCTCCTGGTTGCCATGACCATCTTGAGCCTGTTCAGGTGAGGCCCAGCCCCAGGTAGCCACGTCCCTGTCCCTGCCCCTGCCAGACCATCCATGCCAACCCCGATAGTGGGTGGCCGAGATGAGGCCTTTAGAGCGTCTTGTCCCCTTCCCTGTGTTGGGCACAGAGATAGAGTCTGCCAGAACAGTCTGGATGCACAGGAGGCCAGGGCTGGGTATGTGTCACCTCGGAGGCAGGGCCTGTGCCCTGGAGCACCCCCCACCTTGCCTGAACCATGGCACCATGCCAGCCAGGGGGTGGGGTCCAAGGCCCCTTCTGCATCCCAAATGTGCCTGCCCCTTGCAGGAAGCTGCACTGTACCCGAAACTACATCCACATGCATCTCTTCATGTCCTTCATCCTGAGGGCCACTGCCGTCTTCATCAAGGACATCACCCTCTTCAACAACAGGGAGGTGGACGACTGCTCAGAGGCCTCGGTGAGAACCCCTCACCCCACTCCACAGTTTCCGCATGCCTAGGTGCCTCACTTTCCTCCTCTTCCCCCTCCTCCTCTTCTGTCTCTCTCCTCCTTCCCTCTCTCTGTCCTTTCTCTCTCCCTCTGTCTGTATCTCTCTGTCTCTCTCCTTCTCTCATTGTCTCTCTGTCTGTCTGTCTCTGTCCTTTGTTTCTGTGTGTCTCTGTCTCTTTCCCTCCCTCACCTTGTCTCTCTGTCTGTCTCTGTCCTTTGTTTCTCTCTGTGTGTGTCTCTGTCTGTCTCTCTCTTTGAGTCTCTGCCCTCCTCTCCTCACTAACAGAACGACATGCACTGGTCGAATCCCACTTTCGCTTGGTGCAGCTGCAGGTGTGGGCCTTCTGAGAGTTCATATATCTGTGTCTGTTAGGAGGGTTCCTCACAGTCAGTGTCCAGAGCCCCCATCTGGCTTCATCGCTGATTTCTGATCACTGCCTCAATTTCTCCATCTGTACACATCCTCCCCACATTAATCCCAGCTTGCTGCTCTCCACAGCTAGGAGTCTGTTCCCACACACTCCTGTCCATCCCCCTGTGCTGACTGTCTCCTCAACCCTGTCCCAGGCTTTGCTGGACTCAGGAGGCTCAAGGGACCTCTGAGGAATTCATTGCCAGGCACTGCAGAGTCTGTCTGTTTTCCTTATTTTTTTTTTTTTTCATTGCTTTGACAAAATATCTGACAAACAGAGGTGTTCGTTTGGCTTGTGGTGTGAGGTGCGGTCCAGCCGGGTGGGGAAAGCATGGAGACAGGAGTGTCAGGTGGCAGGTCAGATGCGTTTGCAGTCAGGAAGCAGAGATGAACTTGGGGGCTCAGCTCACTTCCTCCTTTTGCTCAGTCCGGGCCCTCAGCTCCTGATGCTCCTCAATCACTGAACCTAAAACCTCCCTCTCAGTCATGTCCAAGTGTGTCTCCTGGGTGTCCTAGCTCCTGTCTAGTTGGCAATATTAACCATCGTGGTCTCCAAGGAGCTGAGAGGACCTCATCCTTGGGCAGAGCTTGAAGCAGCCAGGACTCCCACGCTGTGCTTTTGGGCGAGGCCAGGAAGGCACCATGCTGCCTCTAGACCAGCAGTGCCTGCTTCCCAGAATGGCAAGGTCTCGAGTAGGAAGAAAAGACCAGAGTGACTCCACAAGCTGGGGCCAAGAGAGGACCAGAGAGAGGCCTGCTGCCTCCAGAGCACTTATAAAGCTGGACAGGGTGGGCGGAGCGGCGAGAGTGTGGCCCAGAAAGGACTTTCCCGTCACAGGGAGGAGGGGGAAGGCTGCTCCGTGAGGATGCCTCGCAGCCAAGGCCTGAGAGGAAAGGGAGGCAGCCCAGCTCGTGTGTTTAGAGTGGATGAAAATAAGCGGTGCCCTTGGGAGGGGAGCTTGCAGCTGGAGAGTGTTTATGCCAGGAGACAGAGGCCCAGGCTATGCCCACCAGGGCACCGGAGCCCCTCAATCACTGGCTCATGGCTCCCCTGTTGTCCTCACCTGCATGCAACACTCTTCCCCAGTTCCTATAGACCCCAGAAGGAAGATCCGCCCCCCCGTTCTGCTTCCCCTCCTCTCTTAGTTCTCTGCTGCTGTGGTAAATGCCATGGCCAACAGCAAGTTGAGGAGGACCGGGTTCATCACATCCCTCAGTGCATCTTTCGGGGAAGCCAGGGAAGGATCCTGGAGGCAGGCCCTGAAGCAGAGGCCACGGTAAAGTGCTGCTGCTGGCTTGTTTCTTGTGGCTTGGCCCAGCCTGTCCTCTTATAGGGCTCGGGACCGCAGGCCTAGGGATGGCCCTGCCCACAGTGAACTGGGCCCTCCTGCATCCATCATCAACACCCCTCAGCCTTAGCAGGCCACCTGGTGGGGGCACTCTATCAGCTAAGGTTCCCTATTCTGAACAGACACCAGTGTCTGTGAACCTGACAGAAAACTACCCTCCTCTCAGCGTCCTCACACCATTTCTGGGCCCCTCTGAAGCCTCACCTCACACTTTATGGTCAGGAAGCTCTTGTCAAAAATTCACCCCCAAGCTCCTCGCCCCTGCCAGTCCTCCCTGGAGGACGGGGAGTGGGGAGCAATTGGCTGTCTGTGGAGAGGGTAAAAGAGGTGTGGGGGCCTCTGGGAGGGGTAGAGAACAGAATGGAGAAAGGAAAGAAGGCAGGGCTGTAAGAGCTGGCAGGCGAGTGAGAGGCAGGGCTGCTTCCTGGGCTGCCTCAAAGGTGCGAGGACAAGATGAATGGCAAAGCCAGTGCCATACGGGAGATGTGGTCAACAAATGGGGAGCCAGCTGGCTGAGCGGGGGGACAGCCGAGGTGAGTGGGTGGAGAGACAGTTAGTCGATGGGTGGGTTGATGGACGAGCAGATAGACAGCTGATGAACGGGTGCCTGGATGGCTGAGTTGTCGTGAGTGGGGAGGTCAGTAAGGAGCAGTGGCCAGGCATGGTGGCTCACACCCGTAATCCCAGGATTCGGAAGGCCGGGGTATAGCTATGAGCTGGGTGGCAGACAGGACTACGTAGGGAGTTCTAGACCAGCCTGGTTGCAGTGAGGGTGACTGAAAAGCCACTCAGGCATACATCACGTGCACACACATAGACAAGGGCCTGGTGGACGGATAGGTAGGCAGGTGGATAGACAGACAGGAAGTATGTCTATACCTTTGCAAACCTCTTAACATTGTGACATCATGTTACCAACGAGCTTCTTGCTGGAGAACCTCAAAATCCAGTTACCAAAAATATGACAAAAAAAAAAAAAACTTAACATTTTAAACACGCTTACCATTTTGTGTTGGACTGTATCCATGGCTATTCTCAGCCTCGTGCAGCCAGCCCCGGGCTGAGGATCGGACATGCCCAGAGACACTGGGATCCATAGCCAGAAGACATGCAGAAGACACACTGACAGATGGGCAATTTGAATTACCCCATGATGGAAAGTCAAGAGCAGGGATTGCCACTATATTTATCTCAAGAGCCTGGTTGGGAGCTGACAACCATGAAGTTGGCCAGGCCACAGCTGTGTCCATCCCTCCAAACAAAGGCTTCGTAACCAGGGACCTGCCATCCTCCAACCTCCCTCTGCTCCTCCCGCAGGTAGGCTGCAAGGCAGCTGTGGTTTTCTTCCAGTACTGCGTCATGGCCAACTTCTTCTGGCTGCTGGTGGAGGGCCTCTACCTACACACCCTGCTGGCCGTGTCCTTCTTCTCTGAGAGGAAGTACTTCTGTGGATACATTCTCACCGGCTGGGGTACGGCACCCGGGAGGAGGCGAGGCTGGGTAGGCTCCCCGGGAGGTGGGAGGGTGCAATCCTGGCTTAGGAGGTCCTCAGTGGAGAGTGATGTGCTCCGCACACGTGACCCCGGGGCAGACCTACCTCTCAGCCTCCTACAGCTGCTCCACGGTGTGGGCGGAGGCTGAACAGAAACATCCATTTCCCCTTTATGATCTTGAGGCAAGCTACAGGGGGTTCAAACTAGAAAAGCAAACTCAACTGTCTAGGCGGTCCCAGACCCTCAGGCCTCCAGCTCCCTCCTGGAGTCTTTACAGGGTGAACTGCATTTGTGACTGTAGGGGCAGCCCTAAGCCTGTACCCTGCTTTCTCCCTCCCTCTCTCTGGCTCCTCCTCCCAACCCTGCCCCCCCACTTCCTTCTCTTCCTTTCTTCTCTGGCCCTAACAGGAGTGCCCATTGTGTTCATCATGATCTGGACCATCGTCAGGGTCCATTTTGAAGACTTCGGGTGAGCTGTTGTCCCAACCCCTCCCTCTGGTTGCTGTCACTTGGCGGCAGAATCCCCGGCTTTGCTGCTGCTGCCGCCCAGGTTTGGCAGGTAGACACCACAGCACCAAGCCCAAAGCGAGAGGCTGGAGGGGGACATGGGAAGGGGCAGAGCCAGGGCTTGGGGGCAGAGCCAGGATACCGGGAAGATGGCCGGCTCTCAGGCTGAGGACTCTCACCCGAATCCCCGCGCTCTGTCCAGGTGCTGGGACACCATCCACTCCTCCCTGTGGTGGATCATAAAGGGCCCCATCCTCGCCTCCATCCTGGTAAGCCCTCCTCCCCCATCCTCACCTCCTTCCTGGTAAGCCCTCCCCTCGCCATGGAGCTCAGGGTAGGCAGCCAGCCTCAGAGCACGTAGGAAGTGTTTAGGTCAGAAAGGAGCCTGAGGTCTCCATCACTCACCCATCTGCCAGCTGTCCCTCTAGAGCAGGCAAGTTGGAGGCAGGTCCTCGGGGATGCAAAGGGGAGTTCCCAGATGATTTGCCCCCAAGGGAGCAGGTACCAAGAGAGACTGTAGGGGCTGGCAGAGCACCGGGGAAGCCCACCCCAGCTCCCCTCTCTAAGTGACCAACATTGGGGTTCCTCTTCAACAGGTGAACTTCATCCTGTTTATCTGCATCGTCCGGATCCTGGTTCAGAAGCTGCGGCCACCTGACATCGGGAAGAAGGACAGTAGCCCATACTCGTAAGTGTGGCCCAGCCGCACCCCGCTCCAGCCTTCCACCTGGCCCTCGGAGCACCCCTTACAAACTGCACTCACCCCTCTGGACTTCCCCACAGCCAGACATTACCCTCACCCATGGCCAGGCTCGAATCCCCTGCCCATCAGCAAGTCTTCAGCACCCACATCTGCTATCCCCACACTCAGCCTCCTTCAAGTTCAAGCCTGCTGCCACAGGGAGCTTGAGGGGCGTGCAGGACCTGTGCCTTCTCCGCCCTGTGCTCAGTCCCTGGCCTGTACCTAGTAAAGAAGGGGATACAGTAGACAGCCAGCACGTGACGCTCCGGGGAGCCCCCAGTCCACATCGCAGCAACCACAGTACTCCTCAGTGATAACAGCCACGCTTGCAGAGTTCATGACAGGCACAGGCCAAGAGGTCACACTCAGGGACCCTTGGAAAATGCTCCCCACTCTGCACAAAGGACAGCTGTACACTCCCTCTCCCTCCAAGGTTTGGGGTGCGCCGCTGTGGGCAGGAAGGACTGTTAGCTCATGGTTCAAGGGTACAATCCATCATGGCAGAGACACAGCTGCGGAAGTGGGAGGCAGCAAGCTGTACTGCTGCCACAGTCTTGAGGCTGAGAGATGGACACTGGCGCTCGGCTCGCTTTCCCCTTTATACTCCGAGTGGGACCCCAGCTGTAGGATGGTGTCACCAGTAGTCAGGGTGCGTCTCCTGCCTCTACCCCATCCAGAAATCCCATTTCGAACATGCCTGGAGGTTTGTCTCCGTGATGCTAAGACCTGTCAGGTTGATAATTGATATCAATCACCGAAAGACCTCAGTTCATTGCTTAGGAGAGGAGCTGTCTCCTTGTGCTAGGCCCTGGGGAGACCAGCAAGCTCTGTGAAAATCAGAGTTTACAGGCAAGTGAGCCCAAGACATGAGCAGGGCACCTACACAAAAGCCCATAGGACCTTCACACTCATGGTGGCAATGGAGAATGGACCCACCATACAGACCAGGGAGGCCTGGCGGTCCTACCAGGCCATTCAGTCCTGGAATCCAGGGTGTTCTTAAACTGGCCTCTGTCAGGGGAATCTCAGCTGTGGATGGAAGACTCCCCGCCAGAGTCACGAGCTGCCGGATCTGGGAATCTGTTCTGGAACCCTGTGACTGTCAGGACTGAGGCCGATGCTCCCTCCCAACGCTAGCATGACAGCATTCTATCCCCGGCAGGCTGCGCGGGCCAAACGTCCCTCTCCTTTCCAGAAGGGGATGCGTGGGGCTTGCTCGCTGCCGAGAGACAGCACTCCTGAGCCACACACGAGGTGTTCTTCACCTCAGCGGCCCGGTTTCCCAAGTCCAGCTGCAGTGGGCTAGGATCTGGGGGACAGAACCGAGACTGGCCACGGCCAGGTCTGTGTGGGTGAGATGAAGGAACAGCTGTCGGAGACAGAAGGGAACTGGAGCTGCTGATCCCCAGGGGGCTGCCAGTTCCCACTCTTCACTTTAAAGAAAGCCTCCATCTGTCAGCCTCCAAGTGTGGGATGGTTCATGGCCAGAGAGGTGTGGCTGGGAGCCAGGCCCAAGAGGAAGGGGAAGGGCTGGGGTGCCTCAGCATAGAGCTTGGGGTAGGACCTCAGGACGGAGGCAGGAGAGGCAGGGCAAACGCGTGCCCAGGGAATCAGGAAACCATGGCCATCCCTACCTGGACCAGCTATGAGGTCAGTAGCGCATACACAGTGGAAGGACACAGGAGTGCTTGCAGGGAATGCTGGCCCTGCTGGCAGCAGGGAGAAAGCTGGTCCTTTGGAGCAGGGCACTGTGCTGCTGTGGCGAGGCAGGGGAGGTATACAAGCTCAGGGTAAGTAGCGACTCCCAGAGACAGGGCCACAGGGGGAGAGCAGGAGCCATGCGTCTGTCTGTCTGCATAAAGCCGGGTGCTCACCGACCTCCTAGGGCACAGGTGGTGAGCCCTGCAGTTCTCATTCCCAAAAGGAGCAAAGCTCTTCCGAGGAGACAGCATCTGTGGCTGTGTTGGGTGTACGTCAGCCCGCTCTTCCAGCTGGGGAAACAGACTAGGAGGAGCTGTCCGGGAAGTCTTGCCCTACATAACCTACCATCCTCAGTGGCCTTCCTCCAGAGGGGAGGGTGGGGGGAGTTTAATTCTCTCTTGTGCTCCCACAGGCCAGGAGGTAGGGGACAGGAGCGCAAGGACACTGACAGCAATTGGGCATGGCACAGAGCGGCCACTGTTCATCTCAGAGGGTCGGGTGTTGTGGGCATCTTGTGTGCCCGCACACACCTACACATGTGGATGTGCGCACCCACGCCCTGCCTCTCCCTCCCCAGGAGGCTGGCCAAGTCCACGCTCCTGCTGATCCCGCTGTTTGGAGTTCACTATGTCATGTTTGCCTTCTTCCCTGACAACTTCAAGGCTGAGGTGAAAATGGTCTTCGAACTTGTCGTGGGGTCTTTCCAGGTATGAGCACGGGCTTTGGGAATTCACCTGGGGTTGCCGGGGCCAGGATGGGGGGGGGGGTCCAGTTTTGTCATTGTCAAGAGTTCTGGATAAGCGCCTGCTCTGTGGGGAGCCAGGTGCAGCACCAGCGTTCCCTTTGCCTCACCTCTCCCCTTCCTCCTCAGGGTTTTGTGGTGGCCGTCCTCTACTGTTTCCTCAATGGCGAGGTGAGCGCTTCCCAGATCTGGGCGCCATGTTCAGGGCCTACAGACCTGGATGGGATCCTTGAGAGCCAGCGCAGTCTAAAGCTTGCCTCTCTCAAGCATGGTTCTCAGACCGCAGCACCCCAGTTGCCTAGAATCCCATTCTAAACTGCGGGCTCCAGAGCACATCACAGGTGGAGAACACTTCCGGCTTAGTGGTGCTGCCAGAACTGGGGGTGAGACATCGAAGGAAGTGCTTGCGGCCATGAGAACGCCCTCAAGTGGGCGTCTGGATGGATGGGGTGCACTCCGCAGGCAGCACCACTCGGCTTCCCTATACTGCATTCTGTGACCTTGTGCGTCCCTGTTGCCCTCTCTCCAAGATCCTGAGGCGACTTGCTGGCTCCCAAGCCTCCCAAGATAACACCAGGGCCTCAGTGTAGCTAGGGACCGGCTGGGGCTAGCTCAACAAAGCTGCGCTGCAGCACGGCGCCTGAGCGCTCTTCCCGCCCCTAGGTGCAGGCCGAGCTGCGGCGGAAGTGGCGGCGGTGGCACCTGCACGGCGTCCTGGGCTGGCGCTCCAAATCCCAGCACCCGTGGGGAGGCAGCAACGGCGCCACGTGCAGCACCCAGGTCTCCATGCTGACCCGCGTCAGCCCCAGCGCGCGCCGCTCCTCCAGCTTCCAAGCCGAGGTCTCCCTGGTCTGACCGCCAGAGGCCGCCAGGCCTCTCCGCAGCCTCCACGCTGCCCGGGAGCGGAGGTTGCAGCGGCGCGGCTGGCTCCAGCCTCGGGCCGACGCTCTCCTTCGCGGCCAGGACTGGGTCCACGTTCCCGGGAGCAAGGAGGCCTGACCCTGGAGGATGCCGGGAGGAACCAGCATCACACCCGCCTCCGTAGGCTGCTCTGCCAATCGTGCGCACCAAATCTGCTTACACCTCCTGAAAAGCAGCCGTCTGTCCTTAAAGCTTTGGAACCCTGAGGGCGGAAAGGTTCCGCCCTGATCGTGCCTAGAATTCTGATGTGGCCCTCACAGCGCTCTGGGTTAAGCGTTGCCAGCGAGGCTCCTCTCTGAGGACGCAGCCCCTTCCCTAGTGCCCTGCTTTTATCTGGCAGCCGCTCCGGGTGGGTGAGTTCTCTACCTCAGGCAGACATGGTTGCCACCTGGAGTTTCCGTTTGTGGGTCCCAGCTGGGGTCCTCCCTCAGGATGGAATGGCCCCGGTGTGTCCTCCGACCTGGTTGCTCAGGGAAGGGAAAAGACAGCCCCAGCCAGCGATCACGCAGCGGCTTGTCCATCACGTAGGACCAGTCACGCCAGCCTTACACACAACCAAAGCAATACGGAGCGGCCCGCCCTGGCGCACATCTCCAGGCCAGCTACTGCAGCAAGGGCCCGAGACTAAGCACACAGGCCCCTTGATGCTGAGGCCTCCCTGACAGCACTGGTAGTGAAACCGAGTCTGGGAGAGAGCAGGTCTCTTTTCCTGTTGCTCGTGCAAACATGAAGACTACCTTTTGGCATACTGTGATCTGCGAGTTCTCCTGGGGTTGTATTACACAGATGTTACTGCCCTTGCTCCCCACTTCCTGTGCCTCCCGGGAGAGTGGCTGAGTGGCTGCTGACAGAAAAGCCTGCGGGTCAAGGTTAGGCCTCCCTCCACCCTGGGCCTCTAACCCAAGCTGGTATCAGCAGGCCCCCTCAGAGCCGCACCCGGCTTTGTGACAGTAAATCCTGGCTCTACCGCCCTGGCTTAGTTCTCCTGCTCCCTCTAAGCAGCTGTGTGACCTCTGCTCCAGTGAGAGGGGCCACTGAAGCTACCACCCTCCTGGCTTTGGACAGGAACCCCACGTTTCCATGTGAGGACTTACCCCAAGAGCCTTTGATTCACACCCTGAGTGTGAAGAGGTTGTAACAGGTTCCACTGTGACCCTCTCCCCCCTACACCCAGCTGGAAGGAGACAGACTCTGCCTCATACCAAATCAAAACAGCCAGCGGAGCTGTCGGAAGCAGCAAAGGTTCAGTCATTCCTGGAGACACAGCAAAGGGAATGTGACAACCGGGTCTCGTTGCCTGGGGGCCAACCGACATGCTAGTGAGTGCAAACCCCCAGCACGAACAGTGGAGAGAGAGGCTGTGTGCCGAGTGGAAAGGTTTGCACGGCCGAGGGGCAGGCGGGTGGCACTGGCCGGTCGAGGGACAGCCCGAGAGAGTGTGTGCAGACACACCTGTAAACGTCGGGTTGTCTTGCTGGTGAAGCCACATGTAGATGCCAGGCTGTTGTAAAGAAGCCAGGATGAGCTAGCAGAGGCTCAGATCTGTCGTCAGGGCCCCTTCAAAGGCTGCCCCCTCAGTACTGTGCCAGGACAGATCAGAAATAGCTTCCGAGGCCAGAAGGGCCCTGTGCCTGAATGAACAGGCCTGGGATTCCCCCAGCAGTGGTGTGTTGTGGCATCAGGGTAAGGCACAGAGCCCTGGGTGGGCACCAGTGTCCAGCCAGGAGGACAGAGAGTGAGTAAAAGCCAAAGTGCGTCCGAGAGGGGAAGGGCAGAGGTGGGCACTGCCCAGAGAAGGCAGTGAGTAGCTCAGCGGGGCACGTTCTGTGATGAAGAGGCTGGCAGCCTTGGGTGAGGGGCTGAGAAGACACGCTGGCAGCCTGGGTTAGTGACAGGCGTGGGGTGCTAGGCCTCCTCATCCCAGCCTGCTTTTCCTCTCCCAACACCAGGCCCTCCAGTCCTGCCAGGCACCTGTCAGGCCAGGCCAATTCATCTCTATCGCCATCTGGTGGGCGCTTTAAAGACTTTACCAACTTGGGCGGCCCTAGCTTATGGCTGTCAGGTAGCTCTCACAGCGGGAGGCAACAGACTCAGAAGGCAGGCTTCCGAGTGTGAGAGAAAGGGTGTGGTGAGGATCACCCCTACGGCCAGCCCCACACCTCACCCTCAGTCAAACCTACCGGACCTGTGTGAGTCAGGCCTGATGGAACCCAGACTCCGGTCGGTGCTCCTTAGAATGGAACCCTTCCCACACCCTCCAAGGCAGCGTCCAGCTAACTGAGGGGTTATGGAGAGGAAGCTGCACCATGTGAGCTCGGAGGCTCTGTCAGCTCCGTGGAAAGGCTTGCTTGCAGGTGGTCCTCCCGCTCTGCAGCACTGCCTGTTCCAGGAGGCGGGCCGCTTGCTAGCAGAACAGCACTCAGGCATTTGAGGGCCAGGAGGGTGCTGGGGTGCCAGGGACACCAGAGTCCGGCTGGTAGACATTGGGGCTCTTGCCAGTAGACATAAAGAGAAGGTTTATCAGATGAGGTCGAGAGATGGTGAGAGGTTGATGCGGAGGAGGACCCAGGGTGGATGTCTGCAAAGGGAGCCAGGCCATCAACAGGAAAGGGAGGGGTCAGTTGGTGAGACAATGGCCTGGTTTGGGGCACGCAGAAGGGCAGAAGGGAATGGGAGAGGTATATGGAAAAAAGACCCTGTAAGGCTGTTGGAAATAGGACCTTAAAGGGACAGAAGGTGGGAAGAGCAAGGCAGCCCCTTTGGAAGGAACGGTGAGTGTAAGGCAAGTCTCCAGGCGTCCCATGGGTGTGCTGGGCATTAGGGTAAGGAATGTGACTCAACCCCTCCATCCGAGTTGCTGGTCGTCGGTCTGTTGGTCAGTCTGTTTTAATGAGCAGTGGCTGGGTTTCCCTCCCCCCATGTGGGAACAGGAAGGACTCTTATCTCTGGGGGAAGGGGAAGGGGTGGAGCCACAGCTGGCAGTCATTAGATGTCCTGCTCCAGCCAGGGATGGCCAAGATATTATTAGCCCCAGATCCCCTGAAGTCACAGCGTCCCAGGAAAGGGACGAGTAACCTCGGCAGGCAGGCCAGCAGATGGGTCAGGAGGCCATCATGGTAATGCCCCGTCCTCTGCGGGAGACAGATGAGGCCACCAAAAGCCAGAGAGGGGAGTCATTGTAGAGGCTGGAGCTGAACCCAGCTCTCCAAATCCCATAGTCGTGCCTCAGCTATGCTACACAAAGTCAAGGATGAGCATTCGTGTGCCCTCCCTGGAGACCATTTAGCAGTCCTGATTCTGTCTTGATACATTGTTTATCCTGTATTTTTGCATTTATTTTGATATTTTAAAATACTGCATTAAAATATTATTTACCTTGACTCTTGAGCTGCTGTTTTGTTCACCTGCTTAGACCCTGCACCTGCCCCACATGTGTCACCCTGGTCCTTGTCCAATCCGGTAGTCCCAGCATCCCTGGATTCCAGGATGGCACTTTATGGAATCACAGAAGAGCTCCAGGCTGTCCTCTGTGTGTTGCCACAGGGCCTGGCCAGTGATGCCAACCAGACACGACAGCCCCAGGGCTATCCCAGCAGCCCCCAGGGTCTCCATTCAGTGTGCTGGACTTCCTCCTCCTCCTCCTTCCTCTCTTTCTCTCTCTCAATGGTAAGATGCCTGTCAGTGCCCCAAGCACCCTGTTCTCAGAAGCCCTTATCAGGAGAGAGAATCCATCTAGGGCTTACCTCCTATAGACCACAAGGGTGAGGAGGACAGGTCACAGAGCCATCTTGTCAATGCCCCAGCCTCCACACAAGACAAAAGGGGTAATGGATATCAAGAGAAGGGAGTCAGCTTGACACAAACTAGAGAGATGTGGGAAGAGAGCTTGGCTGAGGACTTGCCTCCCCTGGGTTGCTCTACAAGTGTGTAGTCTGTGGGAGCACTTCCTTGATCCTCAACTGATGGAAGAGGAGCTGGCCCACTGTGGCGCTCTTCCCTGGGCTGGCAGGCCTAGGCTGTCTACAGAGCAGAGCAAACAGAGGCAAGGAGCAAGCCAATGAGCTTCGGGTCCTGCCTCAGCTTCCCTCAGTGACAGACTATAAAGTATCAGATGAAATAAACCATCCCCCTCCTCCAAGCTGCTTTTGGTCAGTGTTTTATCAAAAAACACTGAGGCAAAAAGCAGGCAAAAATGAGGACAGTGAAGCTTCCACAAAACAAGCTGGTGTACTTTGAATCTAGCTCAGTCTCCTTTAGAAGCTGTCTTTGCAGAATGAGGGTCCGTGGTGTGTGTTGTGGGGAGGGAATAAGACAGTAGTGTCAGGGCGCACTTCTGAACTCATGGACCCAGCACCATAGCACCCGTTCCCCAGAAAACTCCTTCCAGTGTCCCTTAAGCTAGCCGCCAAGAAACACTGGGACCCGCCAGGGCCTGCCAGGGACCACTGTACTGCAGCAAGAACTCTCTGCCTTCCTGAGGCTTTCCTGACCTGGCAACATACAGGGACACAAAAGGGTCCTGGGGAAAGGCTGAAAGGCACTAACGCGGCAGTGTGGGTGGTGCTGAGTCACACATCCCCAACACCAAGGCCTAAAGGTCTAGCCAGGAAACAGGAATGAAGCGCAGAAGTGAAGGAAGGCCTGACGGAGCCTGCTGCTGGCAGGGCAAAAACAGGGGCTCATTACCACTGGGAGTCTGAGGAAGTGTCAGCCCCTGACTGTCTGCCTGTTGCCCAAGGCATGGCCATGTCAGGTTATCACAGCTCCAGTCCAGGGTTCCGATTAATGACTTCTGTTGCTGCAATAAAACGGACTACTGACAACATAGAGAGGGAAAAGCTCGTTCGGTTGGAGAGATGGCTCAGCAGGTAAAGAGCACTTGCTCTTTCTGAGGACCCAAGTTCAGACGGCAGCTCTCACACCCAGCGGGCTCACAGTTGCCTGTATCTCCAGTTCTAAGGGGTCTGGTGCCCTTTTCTGACCTCTGCAGGTACCTGCACACCTGTGGCATTCCTTTATACACACGTAAATGAATAGTTTAAAAACATGTTTTAAGCGAGGAGTGCAGTTTATCAGAGCAGGGAGGGCATGACGGCCGGAGCAGGCGGCAGCTGGTCATTGACAGGAAGCAAAGAGCTGGCAGGAAGTGGTGCAGGGTCTAAAGCCACAAGTTTCACCCCCACACACACACACAAACACACTTCTTCCCATGAGGCCCACTTCCCACAGACTCCACAACCTTCCAGTGTCATCAGTTGAGGACGAAATGCTGAAATGCATGAGGCATACAGTCGTTGCCGTGAAGAGGAGCCCCTGCATTTGCCCGCCACTCGGCCTCTGCAAAGCTGAGGCTGAGACTCTACCCCCAGGACAGTCATGGAGGCAAGAAGCACGGACGGAGTAGGGGCCTCGTGGTCAGGTAGGGGAGGCAGTAATGGGCACCCGGCACGCTGTTCCCCACCTCCTGGTGTGTGCTTCATGGCCACATAAATCAGAACTGGGCTCAGATACCTCAAGGTCAAATCCACTCAAACTTTCCAGCCCCCTTCATCAGGAGAAGCAGCCTGAACAGTGTCTGAGGACAGAGGGATGCAGGATAAGGTCGCAGAGAGGACTCCCCTCAGGCACTCAGGTATTGGAAGCAGGAATGGGCCTTTTTCTTAAGCCCTCCGTGGCAGCAAGGATGGAGGGCCAAAGACTCCGTCAGCGGGGCAGACAGAGGTCCCCTCCCCCATGCTCAACATCCTCTGTGCAGAGTGACAGGGAACGGGCAGCTCTTGAAAATACTAATATTTACTCTTCAAACAGGAGCTGGCATGGGCTGCTTCCTGTGGCTGGCGTCTGGTTCCACCGAGGATGGACACAACAGGAGGCTCCAGGAGCCAAGCAGATGTCCCCTCAGATAGCAGCGGTGGGACAGGACTGTCCAGGAGCTGCGGACGGCGTGTTCTTGGCCCCTTGCGCCCACTCCGCCTGCACACCTCGAGGGCTGTGAGCTCCCGGGCGTTGTGAGGCCTGCTGCACGGTCCCGTGAGAAAGTCCGCTCACTGGCCCCGTGTCCTTGCCTCTTGCCCTTGCACTGTTCCCTGGGGCCTTGGAAAATGTGCCTGGAACAAGCCCCCAGGGCCCTGGTGGTCCTGGCCTGCTTCACCAACCCCCCAGCTCCCTGGCTCCACTTCCCTGGGCTCACACTCGAGGCTCAGGCTATTTCTGGGGTGGGAGGAAGGGCTGGCTTTGAGGCACCTCTGTCCCCTGCAGCTGCCTTTCAGCACAGCGCCTCCTGTGGGAAAGCCTCAGCCGGGAAACTACCTCAAATGGCCTGGATCTGGGGAGGACAGTCTCTGGTGGGGAGAGGTCAGACTGGCACCCACTATTTCTTCTCCCTTTGGGATCTCCTCCTTTTTGTTCCCCACTTTCGCCATCCCTCACAGTCCCCAGAAACACATCCTTAGCACTTCGGGCCCTAGCCTGTTTGGGCTCCTCCCTGGCTCCAGAAGCAGCCATGGACACTCTTCATGTTTTGACATAGGGTGTCATGTAGCCCAGGCTAGCCTTGAACTCCCTGTGTAGCACCAAGGATGACCTTGAACTTCTGATCCTCCTGCCCCTCTTCCTGAGTGCCAGGAGCGCAGTCTTGGGCCACCATACCTGCTTCTGTGGTTTTAGGGATTGAGTCTGGGCTTCGAGAGCGCTAGCCATTCTCTACCAACTCGGCTGTGGCTGGCCATGCCATTCAGCTTTCCGTTTGTGGGTGTCAGAGGACGTGGCCTGCTCTTTTACTGTGTGCCCAGGGTCCTGATGGCTGGCTCTTCCATCGCTTGCTCAGCACTTTCAGGCTGTCTCTTCAGAGTTTTTCTATTAGGATTTCTGTTTCTTGCCAACCCACACTCTAACCCCCACAGCTTCCACTTCTGTGGCCTTCCCCAGATCTCCTGTCAGCAAACTTGTTAACCCTTCTGAAACTTTTCACTTATTTATTTTTATAACTGTGGGTGTTTTCCATGTGTGCATGTCAGTGCACACTTGGCGCCTGCAGGAGCCAGAAGGCAACAGATCCCCGAAACTGGAATTACCGACAGTTGTGAGCTGCCATGTGGTGCCAGAGACCAAACCCAGGTCCTCTGGAAGAGCAGCCAGCGCCCTCAACTGCTGAGCGTCTCTCCAGCCCCACACCTGCGGCTCTGCCGAGGGGCTGTGCCTATGACTTTGCATCTTGCCCTCAGATCTGAGCATCTTCTCCTTGACACTCAGCAAACTCCAGATCTTCCTCATCCGTCTGCCCCTCAGTCTGAGAACTGGTTCGCAGAACTCCTGCCAGGCCCTTCTCTCCGTCTTTCCACCTCTGGCGCCGAGCGAGCAAGCAAGCTTGACGGCTGTCACCGGGCCTCCTGCAAGGCAAGACTCGAGGAAGAGGCAGAGACTCCTCAGCCCCAAGGCTTCCAGGCACAGAAAAGGCATCTTCATGGCCCAAGACTGCTGTTTATTACTAGTTTTATTACTAGGCCAGGGCACAGGTCTCCGGGCTGCTCTCTGGCTTCCCAGGCCCCAGCTTCTCGATCTGAGCAACAGGACTTGTTTCCCTTCAACTCCCAATCCAGCAGCTCAGATGGATACTGGAAAGTGGCCTTGGACTCCTGCAATGGCCGTGACTCAGTACAAAGGAGAGATGCTGGGCACGCGCGCGCGCGCGCACACACACACACACACACACACACACACACACACACACACACTCCCAAAGGCTTAGGAGGCTGGTCCACAGAGGCTGCCTCACAGCCCTTCCTGGGAATTCCGTCAGCTGCTTCAAAGCAGCCTCATAGGGCATTGGCCTGGGGTGGGAATGCGAGATGTGGCTGGTCGCTGCGCCTCCTCGTGGCCATTGTTTGGTAGGGCTGGCCCGGGGAAATGAAACCTTCACCCCAGTTCAGAAGCTCAGAATGCAGAGGCGCCTGTATTAAAGCCTGTTCAGACCAGGATGTCACATACCGCAAAACGCCTCCCACACACCACCTCAGACCAACAAGAAAAATAGACCCTGACTCATAACAACGTGACTCATAACTACGTGTGTAGTTATGAGTAAACTACATTAGTAAACACATTAGTAAACACTTTAGATTTATTCTCTACACACTTCTGAAGCTACCTCATGTCATTTTAATATACACGGTATATAACCAGCTGTACAAGATCCATGTGTTGACACAAATTGCAGTTTATGTGAAAGTTAAAATGTGCCCATCATGTATGCAAAATACATCTTTGTTGTCATTTGAAAAGTACCTTATCATATGGACAACAAACACTGAGGACAACTGAGGAGGAACTGGCTTGGCCTAAACTAGCCTCAATTTTTTTACGTTCTTAGTAGAAAAACTCATTAGGCCAAATCATAATCCTAGAGGCCGAGTCACACGGAGAATTCATCGGTAACATTTCTGCAGCAATCTAAGGTCACGCCAGCGTAAGGGTTAAGGGCACACGTATGCAGCAAATACGGCTCAAGGGGAAAGAAAGAATGGCTTCAATTTTACCTCAAAATGAAAGACAACTGTGGGCATAGCCCTGCCCATCACTACGTGGCAGATATTTCCCAGATGTGAAGAGCAACTCCTTCCACGGCTGTCCTGCTCACATCTCCCCAGTAAGAGTGAGACTGACGGCCGGGCATGGTGGCGCATACCTTTATTCCTGGCACTATGGGAGGCAGATGCAGTTGAGTCTGTGAGTTCAAGGCCAGCATGGTCTACACAGTGAGTTCCAGGCCAGCAAGGGCTGTCTTGTCTTGAGAAAGCAAAAGAAGCCCTGCTTCTGTCTGGACAGGGAAGGGGGAGATGGGAGCTCTCCTCGCTGAGACTGGAGGACAGGGCAGTCAGATCTAGCCAGCAGAAGCAGCCTCCTTGGATCCAGGAGCAGGCCTGGCGATGCTCTCTGTCTCAGGGGCTCCACGCACAGAAGCCATGAGGCATGAGGGAAAGAGGGGAAGGAAGGCACAGTGCCGTGAGACCCAGAGCATAAAATGCCACCTCATCGGTGCTTGACCACTGGCCCAGCCTGTGGCCTGATGCACACACCTGTGGCCCTGCAACCCTTTCCTCTTGTGCAATGTACAAGAGTCCCCTCTGTGACCACTGGCAGTCCTCAGAGGAGTGTGCAGGGGCTGTGAAGGGGTGACACTGTCCTCCGGTAAGGACACTGGGGAGGGCGGCCAGTGGCTTCTGCTGTGACACAGGACTGAAGAGAAGAGGCAGGCGGTGTCCAGGCCACCAGGTTGGCTGATCTGAGCGTCCCTTCCCCGCCTCTCAAGGGCGCCCTTTCTCCTCCTCCACCATTCTTGGCTCTCACAGCAGAGTGGCCCCAGACCCAGGCTGGACAGTCAGACATGAGCAGCAGCTCAGCAAGGGTTTGTGGGGCACAGCTGACAGCAACGTGCACAACCTTACACAAGAGTGTGAAGTGTGGCTGTGTTGGTGAGTAGGCAGCTCCCTTCACGGAGCAGCCCAGCACGGGTGTGAATAAAAGGGCTGTTTGCAGCCCCTCCATACCAAGGGCAGCGGCACTTCTCCCCCGACCTCATGCGGTTTCCTGTGCTCCCGACAGCCACCTTCTTGCGCCTGCTGGCTGTGACCCTCTCCCAGCAGCGCTGACAACCAACACACTGTTCTTCCTGAGCGCTGGTCCAAGGCAGGGCAGAGGCTGGGTTAGCTCTAAGGCCGCCTCCCTCTCCTGTCTCTCCCTCTGTCTCTCCGCAGGCTCTAGCTTTGCACTTCTCCCTCCCCTCTCTCCCGTCTCTCCCTCTCCTGTCTCTCCCTCTGTCTCTCCACAGGCTCTAGCTTGTGTCTCCTGTGGGGCTATGGGAGGCGAGCAGAAGCCGGCAGGAGAGGGGGAACACGAGAAAAGTAAGGGGGCCACTGAAAGGGCTCACAATGCATGTCAGCAGGGCTCAGGGATGGCAAGAAGCACAGCCCTTCCACTCCCATGGGGTCAGTGAGGCATCAGGGACTGAGAGGGACCTCAACGCAGACAGCCCAGCTGGCTCCACCCAGAAAGAAGAAAGCCAGGACAGGTTCCTGTCAAGAAGAAGTTCACTGAGGGGAAGGGAACCAAATCAAATGCCAGCTTTCTGCCCACACGCTGGGTCACCCCACCCGGCTAGCAGCTGAGCCACTTTCAGCAGCTCACGATCTGTCAGCAACTCAACAGGAGGGCACCCTGGAGGCCTTGTTCTCAGCACTGCTCCGTGTGAGCTGCTGAGCCGGCACCCTGGCCAGAACAGCAGCTGGCGGTGGTGGACGAGGAACATACCTGCCTGGGAGCCGGTTTCCTGGCACCAAGGAGCCACAGAACAACAAACAGCTAGGCCTGAGCCCGGGAAGCTGGGAAGCTGGGCTTCCCGTCCCTGGCCTCGGCCTCTGGGAAGTGAGGCTTCTCTGCTGCATTCCACGTCAGTGTTGTGTTTCCCCCAGAGCTCGTCTTCCTGTCTACACGGCAAGCCAGAAGCACTGTAAACGGAGCAAGGACAGCACCCCACGAGCATCCTGAGCGAGGGCCCCAGGGATGGCTTTCTTCCCGCTTGTGAACTGAAGGCCACAGGCTCAGACCCAAGAGTGTGAGTGGTGTCCACACAGGGCGACACAGTGTCCCAGAGGCTCAGGAGAGAAACAATAGGCTGATTTTTAAAATTACTTTAAATTTTTTTTAATATGTGCTTTGAATTAAAAGATTTTTCTTCCCCCTCTGGCTTCCTCTTTAGCCACTTCAAAATTCTCTCTCAGGAGGAGTGAAAATCTGCCTGCACAGTATACACAGAATTACACAGGTGTGTGACACAGGTGTGAGACCCATGAAGACACAAGGCTGAAGTCCATGTCCAAGGATGTTGCCAACATGACATCCACACCCAGACACTGCAGAGTTGATTAACAATAGAAAATTCTCTTACGAGGAATCACAATGGACAGACTCTCCCGTCCCTTTCTGAGTCACGTAAGCTAGCTCACGCCTAAGATGGCAAGCTACTCGCTAACTGGTGTGTGTGTGTGTGTGGGGGGGGGTGTTCACTTCTTCTGGAGCCGCACAGGCACCCCCGCTGTGGTTGGAGCGGTATCCCAGGAACACGCCACAAGCGTGAACCCCAACACGGCTTCTGTGCCACCAGGCAGCCACAGAGGCAGGGGTCTTACTCAGAAGCGTGCCTTCGCACTTCAGAGCAAGTGTCAGCTACACCAGCCGCAGGGCACTGACACCTCTCCACTCCTGCCCAGAAAACGAGGCCATGGTCCAATTAGGATGCGCAGAGGAGTAATTAACTTGGGAGGCCTCTCGAGGAGGCACACAGGGCCACGGCTCCCGAGACGTCTCCCAAGCACCGCTGAAGCCTGGCATTGCCCACTGCACACCGCCCCACTGAAAGGATCCTGAAGACCTCATCTGCTTACGCCTCTGTGCCTCAGACCCAACACATTACTTCCTCAGGTTAAGATTTTCAGGTAGATCCTGCAAATAAATATGAAGCCACACCTGTCTCCACGGAGCCCCGCCACTGTAAAAAGTCTCTGTGAATTAAATAAACGTGGACTTCCACAGCATTTCCTCAGCCTGTTTGCCTTCATTTAAATGTTCAATTATATCCAAAATATATTTAAATATTCCAAAAGTTTATCGAACCCAAGTTATCAAAAATGTAAACAGAATTTACCTAGCTTATATTTGCAAGCTTTTCATTTACCCTGTCCTGACACTCTCAGGGACGCTGGCTGAAGCTGCTGCCCCTGAAAACTGACCGAAGCTTTACCGAGCTTCCTGACAGACACTGCCAACCACTAAAACTACCATTATGGAAGCTAGTTTGCAGTTATCATTTGATTTAGGATGCTGAAACATCGCCACTGTGGCCATCCGGGACGCTCTGAGCAAGCTCCAGCTGCCTGGCCCGCACTCGGCTGGCTGTGCCGAGGCTCCAGCAGCACCCCTGGGGCCTCAGAGCACCCGCCTGGGCCCTGCCCTCAGGAGTGTCAGGGTGGAGACTGGGGAGAAGGTGAGAAGCAGGAGCGGAAGCAGACTGGACTTCCAGGACAAGAGTCAAAGGCTGCGCCCCTCCTCACACTCCACAGTCAGACTGCCTGGCCTGCAGCTGTCTGCTCAGGATCTGGTAGGAGGACAGGAAAGCCACGCCCACGTGGAAGAGGATCTGCCAGGCGTTCCGCAGCCCATGCAGGTATGCGTTGCCCAGGCAGATGACGCCCAGCAGCAGCGCCACCTTCAGCGTCCTGGCCGGACTGTAGAACAGGTACAGGTGACACTGGAACGAGAGCATGGCACCTGCTCAGAGCAGCCACAGCCACAGGCAGCTGCACACACTCACTCATTACTGACACCTGCACGCACTCACTTATTAACTGACACCTGCATGCGCTCACTTATTAACTGACACCTGCACACACTCACTCATTACTGACACCTGCATGCGCTCACTTATTAACTGACACCTGCATGCACTCACTCATTACTGACACCTGCACGCATTCGAGTATTAACTGAGTTCGCTGCAGCAAAGCTGAGTCCAGCTGCTACTAATCACTGAATGAATGGGAGATTCAAAAGGAAACAAAACAGGTGTCCCCGAGGAGAGTTGCTAGAGAAACAGGCAGATGTCCAGAGAAGAGAGAGGTGCAGCTCAGGGCAGACAGGTGGGGAGGCCCCGGGGCTGAGCAGCCTCTCTGTGAGGTCCTCCTCGGGGCTGGGGGAAAGTCGAGAATTCCTGCTGTGGTTTCTCCTGAGTCTCAGCCACACCGAGTTACAGTTCCCCCAGGCACCGGGCTGCAGCGTCCCCGGGGAGGGACCGCACCTACCTGGACCATGCAGGCCACAGAAGGAATAAAGAAAGCCAGAATGTTTCCAACCTCCTCCTGGGCAACCTGAGATCGGGCACACAGAAGAAAGGTTCAGCTGAAAGGAACCACTGTGCCTCAAAGTCTGTTATCTTCATCTCCCTGGTGTGACTGACTGCACAAACATCCCAGCCAGATCCAGGGTTGCCATGTGACTGTCTGAATGACTACACAGACTTTGGACACTCCCATCCCAGGCCACCATGCTAAATCCTTCTCAAGGCTGTCCCTGCTGTCACCTCCTCAGTGCTGTTCCTGCTGTCACCTCCTCCATGCTGTCCCTGCCCTGTGCCATGAGAACCTCCAGGCAAGGTCTATCTTAACCACCTTGCCAGCCAGACACCAATTCTCCTACAAACAGCTGGCAAGTGCCCGGTTCACACCTGGTCACAGATGAGATGGCCTAACGGTGGTCACGCTCCTAACACAGGGCTGACACTTCAAAGGGGTCAGTCGACAGCAGTCTCCTGGGTTCATCACCCACAAGCCATCATCCTTTACTCTCCAGTCAATACAGCACCTTGGCGAGCGCTATGACGCTACCTTTTCTTCTTAAACCAAAATTTCATTCTGTTCACACTTTCCCATCCCCTGCCCACTCCCAGATCCTCCCTGCCCCCAACCAACCAACTCCACGCTTGCTTTCTCTCTTTAAAAGAACAGGAAGAGAGGGAGAAAGAGAGAGAGCGCATAGTAAGCACACACACACACACACACACACACACACACACACACACACACACACACAGAAACCATAACATACAAGACCAGCAGGATAAAAAATGCCCAAACAAAGCAATGAGATAAAAATCTACAAAAACATTTTTACTCTACCTTTAAAAAAATAACTACCCGCTTATGCTAATAATTCCATTTCGTTGTCAAGTGTTTCAATACTTCCAAAAATATATTTTTTTAAAGTATTTGGAAAAAAAGCATTGAAATAGGAAGTCGCTTCACCATCAGTGGCCAACGAAAGGAATGCTCACTGCATCCCAGAACGTGGCTCTCTGACGGTGAGAGGAGGCTTCCGTGTGCCACGTGGAGCATCTTTCCTAGAGCCCAACAGTGTGAGAGTCCCACGTGCGTCTACTGACAGTGCAATCTTGATTACCAAGGGCACAGGGGCAGCCAAGATGTCTGCTTCTCAGCACACCCAGAGCTCCCAAGGTCAGCCACAAGAGGAATCCTTCCAGAATCATTCAATGCACCACAAAGAGGAATTTTTTGGTTTATTCTTTTATTTAATACTCTACCCTAAGCTGGCCCAGAACTCTTCTGTAGCTTGAATGGCTGGTCTTCCTGCCTCCACCTCCCCAGTGCTGGGACGGGGACGGGGGCATCACCATGGCCAGCTTATGGATTAAAATCTTAAAATTGTTGTATTTGAATTTTTAACTTTCATAAAGCCTACCTGTGCCAGGCAGCAGTAGCACACACCTTATCCCAGCACGGGGAGGCAGAGGCAGATGGATCTCTATGTGTTCAAGGCCAACCTGTTCTGCAAAGTGAGTTCCAGAACAGCCAGGGACATAAAGAGAAACCATGCTGCAAAAAAAACCTAAACCAAACCTAAAATCTAACAATCTGGTAAATAAAATGTTTCCCATCATCAGCTTCTGTCACTTGTCTTTCCATTGTAAAGTAGGGTTGGGGATGAAGCTCTAGGGCAAAGGGTCTGTGCCAAAGTAATCACAAGGTTCAATCCCCAGCATGACCACAAAAAAATCCAGAAAAAAGCTCACCTGTAAGGAATGCTCTGCGAGGTGAACTCCACGAATGAGGTTCAGGGCAGCACACATGATGTTGAGAACAAGGGAGAGGACACCCAGAGCTGTCACCGGCTCCATCCGCAGATTCAGAGCTTCACAGTGAAGAGAAAGGAGAGTGTCTGGTGAGAATTGCCTCTATAACAGAAAGGTGAACGAGGACACCGGCTCAACCTCTGCTAACAGGCCCATGATGCTAAACCCACACCACAGGCACATTTACAAAGCAGCAGAGGTTAGTGGGCCAAGCCAGAAATGAATGGATATCAGAAATGGAGGCAAACTTCTTCCAGATAAAAAAAAAAAACCACTTTCACGTCAAACACAAATCTGCAAGCACTTAATCCCATTCTTATTTTAACTGGGTGACTTGCTCCCACAGGGCAGTGCCCAGAAATGTCAGCAGGCGAGCAAGTGAAAGGGGCACTGTTAAGCATCCCTCAGGACACAGTGGTCCAGCACAGTCGCCCACTACTGCGTGCACACAGGCCGAGATGCTAGGGGCAGGGGCAGCCAGGACTCCTCAAGCACCTCCGCCATCACCTCACTCCTTGGTCTGTAAACTGCTCCACTCTTTTTCCAATAAGGACACTGTTGAGTGTTATGTGGGCATTCAGAGAAATTCACAGCAGATAACTTTTTAAACTCTAAAGCACCCAGTAATGGGGGTATTTAATAAGGACAGTCTGAATGGCTGGGCTACAGCCATGGCCAGGATGGTTATGAGAACAGACTCTTTCCCAAAGGTCACATTAAAACAGACGGGGGTTCACATATGCTCTCCAGCCCGTTCTCCTGTCGTGCTCCTTCCTAAGCATCCTTTCTGATCCTGACATCCCACATGTAATGTGCACAATGTGCCCTGTGAACCCCAGCCCAGCTAGCACCCACGGTTAGTGTGTTAGTGTCCATACAGCAATCGACTTCCTGTTAGAACAGAGCATGCTACCTGTGAGGACGCTAGCCTTGGGAAAGCAAGGTGAAGCAAACCACAGTAAAATGTCCTAGACAGACGGGCAACTTGGCACTTTCAGGATTTGCTCCTCTTGTCTGAGTGTTAAAAAAACAGAACATATGTCACGAAGGTGTCCCCGTGCTCATGCATGAAAGGGAGAAGCTCAGGCCCAATCACCCGGCCTCCTCCTCCAAAGGCCCAGTGTCCCCCACACACTCTGGACAGCCTGCTGACTGTGAGCCAACCTGGGGATTTCACTGCTTTAAACACACTCGGCCAAAACCAGACATTGTTAACATGCTGCTTAAATTTCAAGCCGTGAGTTTAGCTCGGAAGCTTTAAAAATTAGATTATTACAACGCTGACAGCTCTCCAGGAGGTACACCGTGGCTGTGGACAGGGGTCGGGGACAGACAGAGAGAGGACAGACCGAGGGAGTCTTCTCCCATCGTCTGGGCTCTAGGGCTCCAGCGCAGTGCTCAGGCATGGAGGCAAGCCATTACCACAGAGCCATGTCACTGGGCCCACTGCAGAAGTTTTAGATGCCACATGGACACTTCCCTCCAGCCTTCCTCCAAAAAGAGAATCAGAGCGTCCCAGAGCAAGCTTCCGAGTATCAGTGAGAAGCCAAGGAGAAGCCACACAGTCCAGTGAGGAGCCTCCAACAGCCATTCTCAAAACATGTACGTCTGTGAACTGCACCTTCAACAACCTGCCAAGTCAGCCTGGAAACTCCAGTGTCACCAACTTGTACTTGAAGCAAGCCACATTACGACAGCAAAGTTCCCTTTGTCCTTTATAACAAACATCTGGAAATGGCCCCGCCCACTTCCTCCTACCATATTTGATGTGAGGTCACCAAACCAGCCCATTTTTAATGGGAAAAAACAAAAACAAAAACTTTTTAAAAAAACCCCAAAACTATTTTTGACATGCATCCCTTCATGTCCAGCAGAGAACAGGCTCTTACCAGGCTCAGAGTGCACTGGGGTGTGGCCATTGAGCACACCATTGGCCACACCTGTCCCCTCCAAGGACAGAACTGCCGGAGGTTGTAACTCCAGCTCCTGCTGAATCTTGTCGAAGCTGGTCTTCACCTGGGAGGCGCTCATGTGGTTAAAATGCCACTTTGTTTTCTGAATGACACTGTCTGCAGGAAGAGAGGCCAAGCTGAGCATCATCAGAATGATACATACGGGAAGCCAAGCCCGTTGCTAAGCAACCAGCAACTCAGCCAGATTCTGAACAGTCAGTGATGGGAGGTCAGGTGACTGCTACGTATTAATACTAGCCTGCTCTACTTCTTCAGGGCAGAGTAACTAAAGTGTGGCCGGGAGAAGACCCTCACCCTCAGAGACCTGGGTCGGCAGGAATTCCAGAACCTGCCACTTCAAACTGTTTCCAAGCTTGGAACAGGAACGGCTATTTCTGATGGTCTCATATCAAACACTTGCTTTAAAACCACAAATCTGAGTCTGGTACCAGCTGGGAAGGCAAGTGTGGAAGGGATACCGGCTGAGCTTGCCACCGTGATGTGAGCCACAGTCCATGAGACTGGCCGGTACCCAAACCTACGAGGCATTTTCTTGACCTACCACTGATGTGGGAGGACAGAGCCCACTGTGGTCAAGGCCTCCTGGGGGAGGCAGTCCTGAGCTGCATGAGAGAGCCGACTGAGCAAGCCATGGAGGGCAGGGCTGTAAGCAGCACTGCTCCGAGGCCTCTGCTTCAGCTCCCGCTCCAGGTTCCTGCCCTGACTTCCCTCCGTGGTTGGCTATGTACACCCTGAAAACCAAATAACCCTTTTCTTCTCAAGGGCTTTTGATCGTGGTGTTTACCACAGTGACAGAAAACAAACTAGGACAGAAATATTGGCTTATTATTATTAAACCACTTCAACAAATCATTGTTTCATTGAGTCAAGGGCTCATGTAGTCCGGGCTGGCCTCAAACTTGCTATGTAGCCAAGGATGGCCTTGAACTCCTGATGTGCTCAGCTGCTAGGATTATAGGTGGCACCACAAGCCGGCCCTAACATGTCCGTGAGGTGGGAACGCTATGACATACGGTTCTAGTGTCATCGCTCTCTGACTCATCACACTCCCACATACCACAGAGCCACTGGTGGGTGGGGGTGGGGCTCCTGTCAGAGCCGGCTCACTGCTCTGCAGGGAAGCCATGTACAGAGACGAGGGGAAAGAACGCAGCACCACTCTCTCCGCCCCAGCTGGTGAGACAGAGCTGCAGCTGTGGCCAGGACAGGAAGAGGGGCCCAGGGCAGCAGCTTCACAAGAGCCTCCCAGAGCACCCCAGGTCTGCCAGGGCGCCCTGCCCTGTGTGACAAGCATTCCCGACAGCCAGGAGGCCAGGGGTATGGAGAGGCCTCTGGCAGATCCGGCCTCACACCTGTCTGTTCCAGACAGCTGTTCTGGCCACCCCACACACCAACTACGCACTACCCACTCTTCTGGCTCCCTAGAGAGGTGAGCTCAACCTCCCCAATGCTGTGACCCCTTAATACAGCTCCTCGGGTTGTGGTGACCCCGCCACCCCATGATTTCTATTGCTGCTTCACAGCTGTAACTCTGCTCCCGTTATAAACTCTACTGTAAATATCCGATGCTTCCGATGGTCTTCGGCGACCTCTGTGAAAGGGCTGTTCAACCATCCCTTAAGGGGCTACAAACCATGGGCTGAGAATCATCGCCTCAGCGCTCAAAATGAACCAATCCTGGCCAAAATGAGCACACCCTGTGACTGTCAGGCTGCGCTCTG